ATACAAGAGGCCCTTAGAAAATAAAATGTGTTAGGTTACTAACCCCAAAAGGCCTCTGTCATTGAAATTCTGGTTTCACCTGTCACTATATTTCAAACACTAGAAGGGCTATGACTGAAACCATCTGATAATCTTTCATGCAAAAATTCTAATATTTGAAGCTAGTTAAATTATTAAGAAGAAGAAAATGACCAATTTCTATATCAAAAGGCCAACGAAACTGGAGTAGCAAAGGGCTATTTGGCATGCAATTCTGTACCTTTCACATGCTCCAAGTTTCATTCTGATAAGTATGGTTGTCTAGGGAAAAAAAGCCAAGCATTCACATTATGTGTTAGCTTTTTACTTTATTTTTGTTTAGGTCTCATTTTCTAATGAAATAAAACTCTTAGGCAGGTGATCATTATTTTTATGAAAAAAAAACACAAATGTTATTGAGTGACTATCTAAGAAAAAAAATACCACAGCAACAAGAACACAATAAGAACAAGGATAACAACTTTTAAAATTCTGGAAAATTGCTAATGCATTCCACACAGAGAGTTTCCACAGGTTGTACTACAATAGAAAATACCCTTCTTTCTTTTTTATTTTATATTTAAAAATTTATGATAAATTAATTACATACATCTAAATAAGAAATGTGAAACCAAAGGAAACTAGCAGTAGAAGAAATTGGTTTTTATATGTTACTATTATTTATTTATGTGCCATAGGTATTTCCTCCACTTTTATGGCTTCACTTGTTTCCTTCATGTCCACAGGAAGAATAGGAAACACTAAACTTATGTTGTCTGTGAAATATAGCATGAGATTATAATAATTCTGAAGATCATTTTAGAGACAGTCCATTCAAGTGAAATTGTATTCTGTAACTTTTCCTTGAGGCATTCTTGTGATATTTCAAACTTTGTCATTAAATTTTGTCTGTCTATTTCCATAAATGACTGTCATAAAGAACCATGATCATTTGGCTTAGCTGTCAGTACAGATACAATTTCTCATACTTTGTCATTTGTAATTACTTCAATGTATTAAAGTTAGTGTTGTGGGGGTCTTCCATGTTTCATGAATCAATCACCTGGCAGCAATCATAACTGTTAAAAATGTTGTTTTTCCACATGATATTAGAGAATTCAGATTTTCCCACAGAACAGTAGTTTTGACATAGACCTGTGTATCCATATCTAAACTAAGGCTGACACCTGTAGATTTATTTTTCGATTAAATCAGGGCATTAGAGTATAACAAACTATGGGCCAAATTCAGTGCAGAGCCACACCCTGAACAAGTCAGGCTGCGTCCTCACTACGGGGGGGAGGGGGGGATGTCGATTTAAGAAATGCAAATTCAGCTACGTGAATGGCGTAGCTGAATTCGACATATCGGAGCCGACTTACCCCGCTGTGAGGACGGCGGCAAATTGACCTCCGCGGCTTCCCCGTTGATGGCGCTTACTCCTACCTCTGCTGGTGGAGTACAAGCGTCGATTCGGGGATCGATTGTCGCGTCCTGACGAGACGCGATAATTCGATCCCCGAGAGATCAATTTCTACCCGCCGATCCAGGCGGGTAGTGTAGACGTAGCCTCAGTGAGATTTCACAGCTTGTAATTCAATGCTGAATTTGTCCCAGAGTGAAAAAATGTGGCCTTCAATTGCCTACGTTTCCACCATGATTACCCTGTGCTTAAAAATGTCCCGTTCCATATGACAAAAATAATACATTTTCCCTGTGCTTCTAATGCAGCATAAATCAACAAACAGTAGCTCCATTTTGTTAACTTTTCTGTTTGTGCATCAGTATGATCACTTTCTACAGTAATATCTATAAATTTCAGGCTACAGAGCCAGCAAGAAAAACAGACACCCTTTAAGATACGGCCTCAAATACTGATGATTGTTCATTTAAAAGTTAATAATCTAATGCTTTCTGTTTGCTTATATATTTTACACACACAGACACACACACGCGGGGTGTGTGTATGTGTATATATATGTTTAGACCCTGATCATCCCTTCAGTTATATACATGTAAGGTGGATACCAATATTAATAATAAGGATCCCCTATATGTAGCCACAACATTTATGATTGCCCTTACAATACGTAATCTTTTTCTTTACTATAAACATATTAAATTCCCAGAAGAGCTTACAACTAAGACTGAAGACAAGACATATGGAAACAGCTGAGATTAGGGAGAGTGTGATCTCTGCCCATCTCTACTAATAGAACTATCTACTGCTGCAGTTCAGGAGAGGAAGTTTTGCAAAATAGTCACCTTGCTTGGTTGGGTATCACTATACAAAGCTAAATTAAAGGTGATACATCATAAGGATGGGACCAGGCACAGAAAAATGGGTCAGAGGAATACACAGAGAAACATATATGTGTTATGTGTTTGACCTAAAGAAAACTTTCACACTTTTTGACAGTGAAGAAGCAGGAATTTGTACAGTGCTGTTTTGAAAACATGTTTGAGAAAAACAACTTTCCAACATCATTGACAATGACATCTCAGTTTTCCGTTTAGTTTTTAATAAGATCCATGAAAACTCTATTAATATAAATTGGTATATAATTTGCATCTGTTGATTTTAAAAGTAGACAGTTTTCATTCTGATATTCATTTCTTTTTTATTGTTCTTAAATTATTTAAAGTTTCTGCAACTCAAACACAAAGTGCATTGTCTCCATGAAATATAAAAATGGATAGGCAATCCAACTCTTGTTAAAGTCAGTGGAAAAGTTCCCACTGACTTCTATGCTACTTTGATCAAAAGTATCAAAAGTATAAGTAGCAAAATTTAATCATCATGATACTTGGTGATCTTACATTTATATTGCACTTTAACATAACAATTCAGGTCTTGCATCTGAAGAAGTGAGGTTCTTACCCACGAAAGCTTATGCTCCCAATACTTCTGTTAGTCTCAAAGGTGCCACAGGACCCTCTGTTGCTTTTTACAGATTCAGACTAACACGGCTACCCCTCTGATACTTGAAATCAGGGAAAGTATTGTTCAGTGAAGCCTGTGTTCCTATAATCTGTTCTCACCAGATACCCGTATTATTTTCAATTACAACTTTTGCCTGCAGAGATTCTAATTCTTTATGATCGCATGTGTGAATAAGTGCTTCCTGAACTTATGAATGAATGCTTTCAGTTGTCATCATTCGGCTGAAAGATGGGTGGGTTGATATTACCTATTCAATTTGAGATTTCAATTAATCAATTAAACCCTCACCTAATTTGATTACTTGGACATTGAACACAATTGGTTCCTGAAAATTGCGTCGTAAGTCGAAAGGTTGTAACTCGGAACTGCAATCCACTCTACTGCGGGACCGAGCGTCGAAAAGTCAAAACCAATGGCCGTAAGTCGAATCAGGGTGTCAATTCAGAAATATCATAAGTGCCATTTGTCTTAAGTCGAACGTCGTAAAGTCGAGGACTGCCTGTATTTAACTAAACATATAAGGGCCACATAAGACATACAATATGTTGTGGGTGGGGGGAAAGGGAGGTAACACAGAAGGGATGGGGACTATGTTCTGTGGTGTATCCCTGAGCTTCAGAGGATTGGGAGCCACAATGATTAAGTAAGGAAGTATCTGACCGTAGGATAACCCAGTGAACTACCAAGAAAACCACCACAAAACATAAGGAGTCTGGAAAAACAGGCTACTTCTCATGGAGGGAGGGACCAAGTTGCAAATAGTATCAGCAGCCAATAGAGCAGAATAGGGGAAAAGGTTATCTACAGGAAAAAACTCTTCCCATGGCGGGGGTTGGGGGGAGGGAAAAACATGTGGAAACTAATATAAAATGTGTGAATATTTTTTATAAAAACATAAAAACAAATATGCTAAGGAAAATTAGGCAACAGCAATAAACACAATGCGTCTCCAGGAAAACATTTGATTACTTCTCTGAACCAGAGAATAAATCTATGGCTGCATATAGATGGGTCTGTGGCCTTAGCATCAATAAACTAAGTAGATGTATTCTCCACAAGGGTCACAGAGATATTGTTACTGCATTTTGTTAGATTCTATTATAAGTCACCTTAAGCTTCTAACTTTAATATAGATAGATGTGGCAAATATGAGGCTTTTTTGTGGTGTAAATGGATGGATTCACATTGACTTTAATGGAGTTTTACTCATTTATACCAACAGAGACTTTGGTCAATGGTCTTTATCACTTAATGGTCTTTAGAACAAAGATCTATTTGAATTCTGTGAACATAAGCCCAGAAGATGCAGCTCTTATTGTTAATGTTTTCCTCATTATTAATACACAAATATCATTTTCTGTTAAATGTTTTCAGTCACATCAAACAAATTTGTTTGTATTTGCTTAAAAAGAAAATCTATCTGTAAAACTCTGTCCAAAAATTAAATACATTAAAACAACCAAATGAAAAAAATGAATGAATGAATGAACTGAAAGATCTATAAGTAGGAATTTAGCCTATTTGGCAGTAGATACATACACTTTTAGAAAGTCTCTTTTTCAACATAAACACAAGATTAATTTTAGCCTTCAAAGCCCAGGCCTTTAGAATGAACAAAGAGTTGCTGTAACACAGGGTGGTTTAGTTCTATTAAAATTTGACTTTCCAAAACAGCTTCACTGGGAATAAAAGCTCAATCACTAGAAACAATAAACAGCAGCACAGAGACCTCCATGCCTCCCTTTAGCTGTTCTAACACCCTCTTGCATTCCCTCTGATCAGAAATCAATAATGGAAATAGCATGAGATTCAGTACAGGCTCTCACAGCCTTATACTACAGACAGAAGACTCTTTATAGGTATGCACCTGGAGTGACTTGCTCCATATAATTTCCAGAAAGTCATTTCTTTCTAAACTAATTGGTCTAATACAACTACTCAGAAAGGAATTATTCTGTAATACTAATATTTTTAACCTTCACAAGTATTTATGCAGAATTGCTTTGGTCTCCCATATAATGAAAGCCAAACTATTTACCTTTCTTTCTGCTGAAAGCACGGTTCATGTTGAGAATCAGCCAGTCAAATATGTTTTCTGTTTTGTGGCACTTCAACCTGAGAAGTAATGCACAAAAGGAAAGAATAAGGAGACAAATCTATAATAAAATGTCAAGTTAACAGATTATTTAACTATTATGTGGGGGAGGGATAGCTCAGTGGTTTGAGCATTGGCCTGCTAAACCCAGGGTTGTGAGTTCAATCCTTGAGGGGGCCACTTGGGGGATCTGGAGCAAAATCAGTACTTAGTCCTGCTAGTGAAGGCAGGGGGCTGGACTTGATGACCTTTCCAGGTCCCTTCCAGTTCTAGGAGATGGGATATCTCCATTAATTATTATTATTATGTGACATTCAAAATGTATTTAAACTGAATTCGCCAACTTACATGTACATATATCTATCAAACATATGCCTGCCTTTATTATATATGAACATTGGTGTTTGTACAAATTGATGGTTATTTGTAAATCTAAATACCTATCAAATTGCACAGGTTGCATGAGAGGTATAAGGAAGCAAATGCGTGCCAGACAGATTTCCTGTGTACACATATAGAGTGTAACTAAAGTATCCTCTTCTACTAGACTCAAAAGGGAGACTTAAGTCGGGAAACCATGTCCTTTCTGAAATAGTTAATTTAAAGAAAGAGAATGGGGAATAGTCTGCTTACGAAAAAAAAAAATCAGGTGATTCAGGAAGGTATTTCTTTGAACGTCCCAGAGAAACTGAATATGATTATTGGAAAGCTCCCCTCACTGAGATTTAACAGACACAAGTGGAAATGGGTTAAATATATACTAAACAACGAACATTAAGTCTACACAGACAGAAGAAGAAGTTTTAAAATGAATGCTGAATATCTAGTGTGAAAGTTAATAAGAACATTCAGTAAAACATACCCTGTATTTATATTGCCCTGTTTTGTGCCTTGAGACTGTCAACTCTTTTCAAGTTGTGCTCCCCAGAAAGATTTTCCATCAAACCAGTGTCATCTGCTGATGACAGTATTCCCACCATATAAGACCTGTATCCTTTACCTACACCTACCTCCCAGACTGGAACAGATAGGTAAAGGATACAGGTCTGATATGGTGGGAACACTGGATAGATAGATAGATAGATAGATAGATAGATAGATAGATAGATAGATAGATAGATAGATAGATAGATAGATAGATAGATAGATAGATCCTCTGACACAAAATTCTTATCCCGATTTCAGACTCTAACCCTGATAATATCCTTAGAATTGTATTTTCTCTTTGCTAGCATTTTACAGACATGGAATCCTACACTTAATTTGGAAATGCCCCATTACTTCCCAGTGTAGGCAGGGCAATCTTCCTTTGGAGTCCCATGCTTAAAACACTTTTTGTTTGGTTTCTTACTCGCCCATCCTCCCTTCCTCTGTCCAGGTGCCCCAGCCAACATGCTCAATCCATGGTGTTTGAAAATGGCCTCCCTCTATCCCGCTCTTCCCATGGCATTCTGAGCCTGAGGAAGAACGAAAATAAAAACAAAGTCGGATTTTCAAAGTGCTCATTGTTGCCATAACTCTGCTCCCACTGAAATCAATGGGAATTTTACCATGGACTTTGATGGGAGCAATGTTAGGCCAACACTGAATACTTCAAAATAGAATTGTCAAGATGGCCAAGACAAATTAGTGTAAGCTTTTGAATGCAAATACGTGGAATAGATTTTGCAAATTTTGTCCTGCTTTGCAAATAACTATATTTAGTTCTTAGTACAGTAATTACATCCTTATTTTCATGTAAAGATTGTATGTCTTTTAGATTAAGGTATACAGGTAATTATACTTTAATCCTTTGTATTTTATTTTAAAATCACCACATATTTGATAGTTTTCATATCTGAATAACACTATGCAAATTATGGCATAATTACCACCTATTTACTCTATGATGAATTAGCCTGAATTGCAAATAACTTACTATGATCTCTAAAATGTATTTACCAATATTGTTTTATGGAATTTTTTACTAAAGCCTGTAAAGTAGCAAAGGTGTAGAGGACAAGATTAGGTAAGGGGTGGGGATGGGGGAGGTGGAGTTCTGTATTTTCAAATCAAATCTTCTTACAAAGGCAAGTCCATCTGTGTGATTGTCAGAACAGGATCATGGCCACATCAGTGAGGTTACTTGTGTAATAAATTCTCACCAATGTAAGGGTTTCAGAAAATGGAGCCTGATCCTGCAATAAGATGTGTTGAGCTCCCTGCATGGGCAGAGAAATCACTTACACACCACAGGGTGAAATTCTGACCACACTGATGTCAGTAACTCCAATTGAACTCAACAGGGACAAGATTTCATCAATGGTGCTAACAAATCTAAAAACAGCAGTATAGTACATTTTTGTTAAAGATTATTTTTCTTAATCAGATTTTATAGTAGTACATGCCTTCTTGACTAAAGGACAACTAACACTCTCTCTATAAAATTACTAAAATTATTGCAAATTAAGCAAAAACCTAAGTATAGTATTTTTAGGATCTGTACCTGCCATGCAAATGTCCTGCCCATAAAATAGCATGGTTTTTACTCTTCAAGCAGCTCCAATGGATCTTTTAATTAAAAGGATCTAATTTTGACATACTTTTCATACTACAACCTATGACCCTTTATCATTACACTCGTCAAGTCTACATGGCAATGAAACACAACTGTAATTAATCGAATAATCTTAAAACAAAGTCATTATTATACTAAAAGTACTGTCATTTCTGTCCTTGCATTGACAATTTCAATGTAAACTGAAAGCCGTTAACCCAAATCTAAAATACTATACTTCATAATTTTCACCACATTTCTGTATATTAGGACATTGACACAATAGATGAGACACTATTCTACTTATCTCCCTATGTTAGAGACATATCAGCCATTTAAGCACTGGTATTAAATAATAGCAACTCCTAAAAGAACTTTACCAAAACAGTACAAACTATGGAAACTTATTCCACTTATCAAGGGAAAAAACCAGTTAATGCCCTATTTAACTTAAACAATAATACAATAACTTACCGTAAACACAAATTGTTTTATTCATCTTCAGTACTTTTGTACTTCTTGTATAACTGAAGAGTCATTACTGAATTATTTAACTTAATTTTACTGCTTTATGTTTGCAATGCCCATGTACTAAAACAGAAGTACAAATGTCAACTCATAATATTTTTCACAGGGTTTAGGATTAGTACCCTCTAAAAATATAATATCCCAGCTTACCAAAGGACCACGAGATCGGCTGATTAAGGGCCTGATCCACTTCACATTACGGTCATTGGAAGTTTTGCCATTGACTTCAGTTACGTTATCTGGCCCCAAAGTCCAGATTTAATTTACGTGCTTTAACAAAGAATGTGTAGGTAATTGTAATCAAATGCATGGTTTATTTAAATGTGTCAGTTATGGCTAGCTGTCATGTTGAGTTTAGCGGTATGAGAGGCAATGCTACCTGATTTAGTACATGATAGGGAACATTCAGATGAATTATCAATAGTTTTCAGTAATGAAAACGCTGGTAGCTAATCTAATATAAGTGAGGTGGCCAGAAGTGCTACTAACATATGAATTTCAAGCAACAGAAGAAAGCATTTAGCCAAAATGTTTGCCTACAGAAGACTTTGCAGGAACTACATTTTATTCTGTTTTTAAGTTATGAAAGTTTTACTTAAAAAAATCCCTATTTTGTATGTCATACTTTACTAACATGCTACCAGACTCAGAGCATCAGTAAAAAGAGAGGAAGAGTGGTGTTGTGTTTAAGGTGTAAGAAGATTAGGGATCATCTATGTACTACCTCTGCCACAGGCTTCATGTGACATTAGGCAAATCACTTAATCTGTCTATGGCTCAGTTACCCATTTTAAAAATGGGGATAATAATATTTTATTTCTCCCAGTCTTTTCTATTTAAGCCCTTATTCAGAATTGCACTTAAGCATGTACTGAATAAGGATGTTTTCCTGAATCTGGGCTTAGAGTAGACTGTAAGCTCTTTGAGGCAGGGATCATTTCTACACAATACACACAGAGCCTACCCAACAAGGAGCTGATCTCTGTTGGGGCTTCAAGAAACTATTGTAAACCAAAACAACATATATAACAGTTACTGAGTGTGTTAACATACCTGTGATTTAAAATATAAAAGTAACCAAGAATAACTTCTGGAGCTTTCTAATTGAGAAATGCTCCAAGAGAAGGTCATTTACAAATATAATTGATCATTGTGTTACTGAAGTCTTAGCATAATTAAAAAGATGCCAAATTTATTCCTGATGCAACTTTATTGATTTGAGTCCAAAAGGAATTTAGACCAAAGGTAGATTAAGTTAACATCTGGAAAATATAACACCATTCAAATAGCTGCTTTATCAGTTTCTAAAAAAAATCTGGTACCAAGTTGCAGTTTGGTTCCTCATTTTGTGTTTACATATGTTGAATTTCTGAGACCTACTTGAAAATAAAAGCTTATCTTTTTTCTTTAAAGAACAAGGACGAAGGCTAATATTTAAAGAAACCTGTATAATAAAAAGCCAAAACCTGTCTACTGCCTGACTGGT